TGTCCGATTTTGTCCAGCAAACAACGTCAACGGGTACAAACCTCCACCGTCTACTGAAGCACCTGAAGAAACCGCCTAAGCAAACAATTCCCACACTATCGACAGCCAACTCCACTGCAGCCACGGCTATGGAGAAGGCAACAGCTCTCAACAAGTTCTTTATCTCCCAAAGCCAACAGTCCATCGACAAGACCACCTGTACTACACCAGACATCAACACTACCCCTGACATCAGTCATACTCTAAATACAATCGCAGCAACAGTGGAAGAGATCGAGAAGCTTCTAAGCAGTCTAGACACTGGCAAGAGCCCAGGCTTTGACAACATCCCAACTCGGCTCCTGAAAGAAAGGAAATCTCCCCATCTCTCACTAGTCTCTACAATCTGTCCTTCAGAACCGGAGAAATACCACAGGATTGGAAAGACGCAACTATTACACCCATCCCCAAGTCGGGCAACCCCTCCCATCCTACCAACTACCGACCCATCCCCTTGCTCAGTATAGTATCAAAACACAAGAAAAAATAGTCCACTCTCGTCTGTACAATCACATAGCACCGCACTTACCCTCCAACCAATCCGGCTTCAGGAAACAAGACGGGACCGGACTGCAACTCGCACGGATCGTCCACCAGATATCCACAGCTAGGGATGCGGGGAAGCATGTTGTAACGTGTTTCTTCGATCTCAGTAAAGCCTTTGATCGTGTATGGCATCAAGGCTTGCTCAAAAAGCTGATCCACTACGGCGTCGACGGCAAGGCTCACAAGTGGCTCGAAGCCTACTTGACAGGACGCAGACAGCGGGTGCAGGTTGAAGGCACAACATCCGCCTTCATACCAATACCAGCGGGAGTGCCCCAGGGCTCGGTCCTGGGACCACTTCTGTTCCTGGCGTACACCATTGACCTGCCCACTGCCTGTGAAAATGCTACAACCTCGTGTAGCCAGTTCGCGGACGACACCGCACTGATTGCCATTGCAGGCAGCTACATTGAGTGTGAGGCTGCGCTACAAAGAAGCGTCGATGCCGCAGCAGAATGGCTAGAGCGCTGGCACCTGCTAGTCAATAAAACGAAAACCGTCATCCTCCCGTTCTACCATGCTAACCGACCCCCACCACGACTACCTGAAATAAAACTTGGCCAAACCCTACTAGAAACAGTAACACAACATCGTCACCTCGGCATCATCTTTCAGCACGACCTAAGATGGTCAGCCCACCTTGACTTTGTGCTGAAGAAAGCCGTAAAATCTTTTAATATTCTCTTTAGGCTCAAATCAACTCTACACACTAAATCACTCTCTCTCATTTACAAAACGTATATCCTGCCTATAATTGAATATGCATGCATTGCTGTCACCCCGCTCTCAATCGCAGCCCTTGACCGTCTTGAGCGAACCCAGCGCAAGGCGGCCAGAATCTGCCTCCGTCTCCCCATCTACACTCCTCTGGATCATTCAACACTGCTCTATCGGCTCAAATGGCCGACAATGTTCTCTCGCCGCAAAGTGAAGCTCACCCTTCTTGCTCACTCCATAAAATACCAATATGCCCCACAACACATACGCTTGCTCAACACCCCTGCTCAAGTTACGGCCCAGTACAGCCTTCGACAAGCACCCACTTGGCACCTCCCACCCTCCAGAACCGATCGCTGTAAAGACTCCCCACTGTACAAGTCCCTAGAATACTACAATGCCCTCCCTGCTAGCATTCGTGACGTCTCCTCCCGACCTGCTTTCAAACAAGAAATCTGCTCAGTGCTGATTAACTCAATCTGCTCCTGCAGCGCTCACCCTCTCCCATACTTGTAAAGTTCAAAGTGATGTAAATCACTTTCCAACTGTTAAACCCACAATCTCACCTTCTCATAAATTTCTCTCTTATTGGCGATGGTGCCATCGTGAGAATAAAGAATTCAAACAGAAACAAAATTTGACAATACGACGAAGAATGTATTCATGCTAGAATGATTCAAGGTAAGGCTCGAAGGACAAGACTTCCTTCCAACCATTACTTGTTCTTGTTCTTTACCTAGTGGAATACGGCTTAAAGGACCATGTTGCGGCCCTCTGGCCATGGTAGACAAGATTTCCTTCCAACCATTACTTGTTCTTGTTCTTTACCAAGTGGAAAAAAACTGAATCTGCAAGAGTCTTGAAAAGCAAAGATCGACACGTGTACATGTAGCCTCAAGCAGAAAAGCTGGCAGCGCAAAAGGAAACATGAAACCAAAAGAGATGCCTAGCTCTGGCGTACATCGTAGAGATCACTGCGCATCCGGTGCACTGCGCCCCAAAGATGCAGGCACGGCGTCCTAAGAAGCGACGACATCCATAAACTGCATCGCATCATGCAGATAGAGTGATAGCGTACCGAAACTAGTATAAAATACAAACAAATCAAAAATAACTGAGAGAAGCGAAAATAAATATATCGAAGAGAAGAAGAGAGAGAGAAAAGAGAAGGAATATAATTCTAATTACTTAGAGCTGGGCAGATATTGTCAAGGAGACATGGAGATACACAATAGAATCGACTCGAGTGCATGTAGAGTAGCTGCCTCTAACTGCAGCAGAGTGGAGTAACACGACGGCTGTAACAGTCGGGTTTCACACCGGACCCGCTGTTGATGTGTCCCAGGTACTTGACTGACGACTGCTTGACGTAGCATTTGTCGGGATTTAGAGTGATGCCGGCGTCGGCAAGGACCTCGCGCGTTGTGTCCAGCCGGTGGTCGTGTTCAGCTTCGCTAGTGGCGTGGACCAGAAAATCGTTCATGAATACCTCAGAACCTTTTACGTGGGACAAGGAATCCTGCAGACGTCGCTGGAAGATCTCCAGTGCAGAGGTTATACCGAATGGCATCCGGAGGATTTGGAACCGACCCACAGGCGTGATGAACGTGGTCAGCTTGGATGCAGACTCCATGAGGGGAAGCCGCTGTTGGCATCCAGCGTGCAAAAGACAGTAGTGCCGGCGAGCCTAGCCAGGGTGTCCTCAACTGTCGGAAGAGAAAAGTGCTCGCGCTTCACATTGCCGTTCCGCTTCCTTAGGTCTACGCAGATCCGTACGCAACCATTAGGTTTATGTACCGGCACCAGTCAGAGGTACTCGTTTGCCGGACGATGATGCCCATTTCCTCCATACGCGCGAGCTCTTCTGTGACCTTGTCATGTAGAGGCAGAGGCACACGGCGGGCAACACCACAGTGGTATGGCGTGGCGTCGTCGACGAGCTTGATGTCAGCTGGAGGCCCAACCATACAACCGATGGGCTGTGCTGGCTTGCTGGCACATGATTCTGCTGCATCTAACCGCTGGATCAGGCGAAGTCGGAGGCAGTCTCTGCGACTCAACAGGTTGGTAGATCCAGGACCATCAATAACTGCCATCTCCATAGAGAACAGTTCACTCTTGTGCATGGTGTCTGCAGTGAACTGACCCTTGATGGATAGATGTGCACCGGATGGACCAAGGAGTTTTGTACTGGATGGTGTGAGTACAGGGCGTTGTACGAGATTCTGTTAGTGGAGTGCATGATACACGATACATCGGCACCTGTGTCGATCTTGAAAATCAAATTTGTGGAGCAAACAGGCCGACTTACTGACCAGGAGTCAGTTGACTGGGAAAGACTGGTGTTGGATGACAGCTCTGCCACAACACCCATGAGTGGCGACGGGGACGCGAGCGATTCATTTCCGACAGCTCTGGCACCACGGACAGACGGCGGCGAAGTGGCCTTTCTTGCCGCATGAATTACACTTGCGACAAAACGCAGGACACGCAGAACGGTTGCTCTTGTGCGAACCAGCGTGGCCACACCACAGACTTGTTGAAGATGTAGTGCCGCTCTTCCTCTGCATGGCCGGCGTTGGTGCAGGCTTCGATGGAATGCCGCTGCACTGGAGACGACTCTTTGCATCTTGCTGCTTTCCTCCAAAGCGGGATGCAGCATTGACTTGCGGCCTGGCGGCTTGCGCTTCAACGTCTCCGGAGATTTTCTCGGCCTGCCTGGCCCTGAGAACTGCGCCCGTGAGGGTGAGTTTTGCGGGCTCAATCTGCTGCAGCTCCTTGGCGACTTGACGATCCAGAATGTGAGCCACGAGGCGATCTCGAACTCTGTTGTCCTTCTGGTCACCAAAGTCACAGAATTTAGCTATGGCGTGAAGTTTCCGAACAAATTCTTCCACGGATTCTCCTGGAAGATGGTCGCACTGTTGGAAAATGGTCATCTGATGAAACATGTTCAGTGCTGGCTTAAAGTAAGCGTCCAGCTTCGTCAGGACCTTGTCATGCTTGTCCTTGTCTCCAACGGCTTCGAATGCCAGCTGATCGAGGTCAGTTTCGGCCTCTGGGGCTAGCCAGTAGAGCAACATAGAGATTTGTACTTTCTCGTCTTTCGAGTTGAGCTCTGAGGCGAGACGATATCCCGCAAACCAGCGTTTCCAAGCCGGCCAGGCAACTGGAATGGAGAAATCAAAGTCTGCAGGCGGCGTGAGCTTGGCCATTTCTACTCGAAGTGTAGACCTGGTTGACTAACTTCTAACACCATGTTGTGTCATGCACTGCCATAAGGAAGTGGTTTCTTTTACAGACAGATGAGTGTAGATATAGTGAAGAGTCAGGGAGGCCATGCCCAGCAAAGCATGGTATCATGCGTAGCACGTGGGTAGTGCGAGGTCACGTACCGTGTATACATGGCGACAGACAGGGGAGTACTATGCCGTGAATGGATGAAAGGATAACATAATAGACACAAATGAAATGTACGCCATGACGAATAAGAAACCTGCATGATGAATATAGAAATGGGAAATGAAAGTTGCTGATGCGATTCATGTCCGAGTCTAGAGCCATACTGCCGCAGTATTAACATCAAGAGAACGAGTGCGGGGAACAATCAAGTGAACGATAAGAAATCAAAAACTACAGGAAAGAAGTACAGTATGGAACACTAGTAGCAGAAAGCGGATGATGCGCAGCGCAGCAAGTCAATCAAGAAAATGAGCAGGCTTAACACGATTAACAGAGACGGGCTGGTCCTTACCATTGATACGCAGAGTGAAGTACTTGGGACTGCGCTTGACCACGGGGAAAAGACCATCATCCGGCCGTTGGAGTGGTAGCCGAACTGCGTCACGGCGCAAACACACTTTAACGGCTGTGTCCAAATCGCAGGGCAGATAGACAGGATTCATGCTAGTACGGACAGGAAGAGGACAGATCTGCCGCAGGAAGGTAGACAGACGAGATGCGTAATCACCGCGGTCGCTGGCAGGTGTCAAGGAACTAGACGTGAAGAATTCACCAGGAAGGCGCAGCGTTGTACCGTAAACCAGTTTGGATGGTGAACAGTTGCTATCAGCCTTGGTCGATGTCCGGATGCTGAGCAGAATAAGCGGTAACGCTTCCAGCTAGTGATTTGAGTCAGAGAGAGAGAGTCCGCAGTGATGATATTATATGCCTATGGAATCGCTCAATTAAATCATTGAATTGGGGATGGTAGGCGGTGGTGCGCTTGCGCTTGCATACCAGTAGCTTCATCAAACTGTTCCAGAGGGCTGACTCAAATTCAGCACCACGATCTGTGACGAGAGAAGAGGGTACACCAAACCAGGCAATCCAGCCAGACACTAAGGCATACGCAACAGTGGATGCAGTGGCATCAGAGATTGGAAAAGCCTCAGGCCATCGGGCGAATCGATCAATGCACGTCAAGAGATAACGATTTCCGTTGCATGAAGGAAGAGGACCAACGAGATCAATGTGGATGGAATCAAAACGCTGATCCGGCACAGGAAAGCTACCAATAGCAGAGTGGGTATGATGCTGGGCAACACAGCCTTGCCCAAAGGTGGCAGCTGCGGACACTGCACCCACTCTGGTGCCGGTTGCTGATCGCAGTGCCCGGATCCTATCAAAGCATTCATACACCTTCAGGTCCCTGCCTGTCATGGAGAAACGGAAACGGACAATACACTTACACACAACATGCGCCATGCCATGTTCATTAGATTTTGCCTGTATTCACCTAATGATCAGGCATTAAAGTATACTAGTGAAAATTGTATTCTTGTCTCCAAGGAAATTGTTCATCAATTCCCAAAGAAATCTTCATTGATAATGATCCAGAACTCCCTATGCCATTGTCGGTGTTACCTTTACTCATTAGCTGTGTTTGTTTGTTCCTGTGTGTTTGTTTTTGCGCATGCATGGTTGTGTGTGTATGTATTTGTGTGTGTGTGTGTCTATCTGTGCATGTGTATGTGTGTGTGTATGTGTGTGTGTGTGTGTGTTCATGCATATGCGTATTTTTATGTGTTTGGGAATCGTCATGTGTATGTGTGTATTTGTGTATGTTTATGTGTGTTTGTGTGTACTTGGTTTGTATTCATTAACAATGCTACTTCTAGGATGGTAGCACACCATTACACTTTGCAGCATCGAATGGTCATGTTTCCGTAGCAGAACATCTACTTAATCCTGGACATTCGTTGGACCCAAAGGATAATGTAAGTCAGAATATCCCTGGTGCATGTTAGTGTATGAACAGAAAATACAGATTATATGGGTGTACATAGTCCGGTCCGGTGCATGTGTACCAGGTGTCATTTTCATCTGTTGTACGCACAATAATACATGCACAATTGGAGAACATTTTCAAAGGAGAACAACAGTTTTTACTATGTTCAACAGCCTAAACAACACTATTGAGTTCCTTGCGTCACCTCAAAAATACTTATAAGTCCAGTGTCTTGATGAGATTTGGTGTATGTTTTCATGTGAAATCGCACCGAACACAATTATGGTTTTGTAAAGCAACCGGTTACTAGATTGGAATTCTTTGGTATTTTGTACACCTGCACAATGTTACACTTCCAGTGGCGGGTAAGATAGTTGGACAGCACAATCAGTCATGTCTTTGTGCGTAACCCCTACAATAATGGTAGTTTGTGTAAATCTGCATGAAGAAGTCTCAGCCAAACTTGGTTGTTTCAATTTCCAGAGGCGTACTTTCTTGTCCTGAACAAAACCAATCTACCAACCCACATGGGGAGAACACTCGGGTATGCCAATGTTGCACCAGTTTTTTGTTCATTGCAGGCATCGGTGCTGTGCTTTTGAATTGCCTCTCGTTGGAAGCAGAGGGTTGGGCGTATTTTTGAGGCTTTTTTTATATTAAATTCTTACCCTATCCCTCATGCCTTCGAACTTATCACAGACAATAACGACCTTTCGGTGAGATAGTGTGCTGCTTTGAGTAACTTGTATTGTAATGCAAATGTTCAACAAGCTTGAAAGCAACGCCAAATAACTGCCTGCAAATAGCTCGGGAATCCCCGCAATACACTTACAATAGTTGTGAAGTGAAATACCAAGCAATGGACAGCAGCTGGCTAATGAGGAGCCATAGCTGATTTGTAATGAGCGGGAACAAGTGAAGCCAATGCCGTTTAAGAGGAGCAGAGCTAAACTTCCCAATCTACCGTATGGAAGATGATTTGGTGTGAGAAATGGAGTGTAAAACCTAGCATGAGCTAGAAGCAAACAAATATGTTGACGTTGCAAGGATGGCACCACAAAAAAGGAAAGTAAAAGTAAGCAGTCATGCACATGCAAGAACAATGTCATTATGGTTGGTATTGTTGTGAACTACCTTGTCTACACTGGCCAACATGCAATACTCACAGCCCACTTGATATTGGACTAGTTACTTTGATTTTGCACAAGAAGAAATAAAACTTTAAAAAAATTAAAAAAAATGACTCTTTAGGAGCTGCATCTGCGCCTTGATCCTTGAAGGGTGGTGGCGTTCCTACGGATGCGGAAAACTCGGCCTCTATATTATAAAACTAAAAGAGTTAGAGAAAAAGGATAAAGGCTTGCGAACCAACATGACACGGACAAAAAGGCGACCTACGTCATCGTGTGCATGCACAATAATGCTGGAAAATGGAAGAACGTTACGAACACAGCGAGAATCAATAATACAAAGCTTAACAATAATTGATACGTAATGATCAACAGTAAATGTGCTTGATATCAAGACTGGAATAGACAGAGAGATAGAGATAGATAGGGAGAAAGAGAGAGAGAGAGATAAAGAAATAGATAGATAGATAGAGAGAGAGAGAGAGAGAGAGAGAGAGATGAGGTGGCGTCGACAGTTACTTAGTCAATCAATTACACCTCTCCCTCCAGACACCACTATTCTAGAACAATATCGCATTGGGACTGAGTCACTGCCTCCGCCGTCAAATTCCAGGCCGAAGGCTCCACTACCACTAGTATCACTCTCACTGTCACTCTCGGCAGGGCTAGACTGAGCTCTGTGGACATCCGTAGTGTCCGGTAATACAGGAGCTGAGTCTAGCTTAATCTGCATCATTGGCATGGCTGATCACAAATGGTGGATGGTGACACAATCTTCTCCACATTCGCGTACGCAGGGTAGCCTCTCCAGCCGAATCACAACCAATGAGTTCTCAGTTTAGGCGTAGTTTGAAACTCGGATGTTGAGCCATAAATAAATGTGGAAAGGAAAAGGACATATGGATACTCTTAACTCGTATCCATATGTCCTTTTCCTTTCCACATTTAGGCATAGTATTAACTGTAGTTAACTGTAGCTACCACGTAACGCTCTCCGCGGGTGGTCGCCTGCGTTTACTGCACATAGCACTCCACATTTTCCCGTAGCGATGCCGCTACTTCACACTGCATCCCACATCTACCCATAGCGCTGTCGTTGAGCTGCCCACGCACGCAGCTGCGCACGTGACACGGGCAGAGTTCGCGCCACGCTGAAGCCTGTTCCCCTCTAGCTCTGTCGGCAGCTGAACCTACCACTGTACCAGCGCAACTGACCCCATAGTATGCGCATGCACTGCAGTACCCGCGACCGGGTGCAAAGTTCCCTGATCGACGTTGCAAACAGCCAACCAGGGTGAAGCAATTGGCGTTGCAAATGGCCAAAGCAATCGCTCATGCTTGAGCGGCAATAGTACCAGCAACCGGGTGCAATGACTACTGATTATCGTCACAAACAGCCGACCAATAGTATGCAATTTTCAGCAGAGATAGTAGCAGCAAAGCAACCAGTTGAAGGAAGCTGTTCCCGGAAAACCAGCAAATGGCACCCCAGCAAGCGTTCACCACCAATGCGCGAGAGCTAAGAACAAGTGATTAAGGCACAAGATGGATAAAGGTAGACATGCAGATGGATGAAATCCAACGCAGGTTCTTAATACGGCAATTTAGCAAAGACAATCGGTACCTGTCTGTCAAGGCTATATTATATCGACTGGAATAGCAGCACTGCTCGGTCTGGTTGTGCTTGTGCAGCTGGAGCGAGACGCCGGAATTCCTCCATGCGGAAACGAGACAGCGAATCGGCAATGCAGTTAGACAGGCCAGCAATGTGAGCAGCAGTGGTGACGGTGAAATTGAAGCGGGCGCACACAAAGAACAGCTCCCTGATCAGGGTCATCACTGGCGGTGACTTGGATGTGCCGGAGCAGATGCAATCTACCACAGCTTTGTTGTCACCGTGCATTGTAAGCTGGCGCCATTCCTTGCCCCACGTGCAGCACGCTGTGACCAATGCATAGAGCTCCTTCCACTCAATGCTGTGAGCGAGTTGCTCAGGCGACCAGGTCCCTTGAAGCCAGCGGCCGCTGTTGAATGCGCCCCAGCCCGGAGTGCCAGTGGCATCAGTGAACAGCTCCAAGTCTGGAGATGGTGTCCAATCTGGGAACAGGAAGAATAATTATGCGTTCCATTTTTCCAGGAGCCGTAGCCACCATTGGATATCTTCCTGGCACTCGGTAGTCAGACTGATGCGGTAGTGAGGCTGCTGCAGTGCTGGGAGCGACTGAAAATAGACCACAGGCGCTGCATAAATGTCCGGCCGGGAACGATGACTCTTGCAGCGAAGGAGAGTTTCCCCAGAAGAGATTCGAGTTCGCGCTGAGACATGATGGGGTTGATGCTCACTGCAGTCAACAGGCGCTTGATGTCTGCCAATTTGTCGTCAGGGAGCCGGGCTTCCATCTTCTCACAATCCAGGATTATGCCCAAGAATGTCAGGGTACGTGACGGGCCTTCCACCTTCGCAGGCGCAAACGGGACTCCGAGTTATGAGAATGCACGGAGATGAATGGCCAGCTGCTGATTCGCCACTGCCTGGCCCACGCTCACGCACAAGTAGTCGTCCGGGAAATGCAGCAAATTAGGGATGGAGAATTCGTGGTGCATTATCCATTCTATGGTGGCTGCCACGGCATCATATACCACCGGGCTGGAGCGGAGCCCAAATGGCAAGACACGGTCGTAGTAGTACTTCCCCTGCCACAGGATACCGAGGAGATGCCAATCCTGTGGGCGGACAGGTATTTGACGAAAAGCGCTCTTCACATCGAGTTTAGAGAGATAGATAGGAGACGGGGAGGACATAATGATGTTAATGGCTTCATCAATCCTGATTTACTGCAAGGAGAAAGGCTCGGCAGGGATCCCGTCGTTTACGCTGGAGCCAGCAGGACTGGACAGGTGGTGTATCAAGCGTACCTTGCCATTCTTTTTCGGAGCGGCACCATTGCCAGAGCAGTACAAAAATGGGGAGAGGGGCGAATCTTTGTTCTTTGTTCCTGTTGTTGCTGACCACTTTCACTTGCTGTTTGCTCCAACACTAGCTCTTTGCCAAATTTTCCAAATTTTCGGTTTCCTGTACCTCCAACGTTTTCCATTCGAGAATATGGCCTCCATGCATTCAGTGCACTCACCGTGCGGGACCTATGCGCCAATCTCGTGGAATGGGGACTTAGTCCCGCCGGCAAGAAAGCAGACCTGCTTTCCCGATTGATGCAATCCGAAGTCGGACCCCACGCCGAGTTCTCTGAGACCCCCGCAGAGGGTGCCCGACAAACTGTCGAGGACAGGGACACCTGCGAACCTACTATACCTGTCGCCTCCATGTCCGCCGCAATCGCGACCGCCATGAAACCGTTTATGGACCGACTGGACCGTCTGGAAGGTGCAGCGCAAACAGCAACCTTAGCCCTAGGTACGTCCACTTTGCATTCGTCTAGTGTTTCCTCCACCATGCTGCATGATGACGGGCCTGGAAAAATCTGGGCAAGCGCACCCCAGGGCGTGATCGACAAAATCATCACGCACCAATTTGTTGACTTACAACAAAAATTGTTGCCGCCGACCGCCACGGACGTGCCAAGCCCCCACGCTCTGGTGTTGGGCGAGGAGGCACCCGGAAAATTCGCGCTGTCCTCCCAGCCACGCATGTCCCGACGCATTTCGGACATCGTAAATTGACTGGAAGCATGGACGATATTCGCAGCTGCCCATCTAGATGCGCATCTGGGCAGAGCAGTAGAACTGTTGGCGTATCAGCACCATATTCTGAACGCCAGCAATAAATTCATGTTTTCCGCAGTAGCGCAGTATGACTGCGCCTTCCGCCACAGCATCGAGTCCCAGCCGTCTACGTTGACAAATTCCTCCCCTGTGGCCTGCGGCCCTCTCCATTTTTTTTAAACAGGCTTGCCGATGCCATGTTGTGGAGGTCTGGAACCAGCTCCTGCAGTATGTTCTGCTGAACCCGTGAACAAGGAAAGAATTGCAGATGTTCAAAGAGAAGGTCATTGCCCACCTGCCCTCTGGGAGTGGGCAATGGATAGGCTACAAACTAAAGACAAAAGACGAAAATGCTCTAACTCTGCTCCCTCTTCCATTCACTTCTACACTCTCTAAATTTTTTCCTACTTTCCTCGTGATACACCCTCCCTCCCCCCCCCCCTCCCCCTCTGCATTATTTCTGTAATCATTTTATGTTGTTTCTGCAGAGCACTCTTTTTTTTTACTAGCAAACACAACACTACTAATAATCAGGGGAAGAGGACAACTGAAATGACACTGGACAACAAGACAAAGGGGAGTAGGGGCAATGTCCGATGTGGTTGGCGAGGCTCATCCGACCGGAGGTCTCGGAATCATAGTCTACGACCAGGCATTGATAGGAATGCAGCTAGGGAGGGAGGGAGATCAAGTGGGAAAGATAGAGAGAGAGTGTGAGAGAGATTGAGAGAGAGAGAAAGATAGAGGGAGAGATAGAGATAGACACATAGATACATAGATACACACGAGTCACAGAAAAACCACGCGTCTTGATTGTCGTAACTTAAAGATTCATGCCATAATTATAGGTTATATCCAGGTAGTTGACCGTGCGCAGGTTGCTTTCTATTGTTATCTTCAGGCCGCACGACTTGAATACTTCGATTACCGTAGTTCCGCGCATATAAGCCCATGAGCTAATATACGAAATAATGCATTTTCCGGGGAAAAAATTGGTAATAATGGTTCGTTTTTTAGCCCTGGGCCTATAATAAATTATTCGAATTTTGAAGGCAGCTGGCATGCAAAAAGTACAAGTCTGTGCGCGGTTGTCCGCCCTCCGTAGGTACTGGTACTGGTAATGTAGTCTGCACTGACAAGTGACATGCTGTACTATCGGTTCCGTAACGGTGTTGGGTCTGTTTATTAGCCCATGGGCCTATAAACGGAGGTGGGCTTATATGCGGATATAGGCCCATGGGCTTATATGCGGATATAGGCCCATGGGCTTATATGCGGATATAGGCCCATGGGCTTATATGCGGATATAGGCCCATGGGCTTATATGCGGATATAGGCCCATGGGCTTATATGCGGATATAGGCCCATGGGCTTATATGCGGATATAGGCCCATGGGCTTATATGCGGATATAGGCCCATGGGCTTATATGCGTGGAACTACGGTATTTGTTTTATCACTCTGTCCGCTACGGGTCCACTCGCATCCTTCAGCACTGCAAGTCCATCGTCACGGTAGAGCCCCACCGACGTCCAGTCCAGGTGCACAGCTAGCTTGGGGAGGATGTAGGCTGCAACAACTTCACAAGCCTCCGCACCGTCGTATGCGCCCATGGTAACGTCGAACATATCACCTCGGTCTTTCTTAGACCATGCCTGACCCTGGACAAATAGCAGTGACTTGCGGGCATGCATAATCACATTCGTGTCGTCGTCGCTGACTTGCACATGCTGCTTAGCGAATTCCAGGGCGTCCTGCAAGAGCTCCTTCGTGATCGACGGGTAGAAATTGACAATGTCAAATACTACAAACGTATGGCGCTTTTTCTCCTCTATGCTCTTGAACCAATTAATTACATCGGCCGTGCTTCTCCAAAGCATCGCTCCTGTAGCGTCACGGAGCTGCCCTGTGATGTTGGCTAGGGTGCTCTTGCTGCAGACGCCTAGCTCGCTTTTTGCTGGATTTATTAGGCGGCACGGTAGGGCACGGTGGAAGTTCTCTTTATGGTCTTTTAGCGTTATGA